AACTCTAAACGACCGTGTGAACTACTCCCACTGCCTTATTTAAAATTAAGTAAGTTAAAACCTCTTCTGTATTTTTAATGTTTCTGACTGAATTTTTAGGAAAAAAGTTTCCTATGTGTCTTCCCCATGTGAATCAATATAAAGTGTTTGCCTGATCATTTTCTTATGTAATTTTCTGTATTTATAAGAAATTGTTCTTGTTGAAACAGGAGACAGATAGATTTTTCTGAAGCTTTCCCCTCTGTTTGTAATCAGAGAGCATCACTTAGCTCATTTTACCATAGGCTAAGGATAATCTGTGTGTCCAGCATGTTTTCCTAGGAAATACTGGATGGATCATGTAGAACATGCAAAATGCATGATGTTGATCCAGTGAATTTCAGGCCTCTATGATTTATCAGAGTTGTTATTATTTAATGCTATTACTACTAATTATACTCATTAACCTCTCCCCAGCCACTCACTGTCAAGTATTGTAGGCTTTCTGAAGCATTCTTAATTTGTTAAGAGCGCTGATTTATGTTGCTGCTCTGGCAATGTAGGAGAATATTGGTAGGTGGGAAGGAAGCTAACCACTTAACATTTTCATGAGATAATTATTTCAATGATACTTTCCCACAGTAGGATACATGCATTTTAAGCACAAAGCACTGGACAGGAGAGTATACGAGCCGAGCATGTGCTTAATTTGAGCGTGTGTTTAAGTGGTTTCATTTAGGGAGAAGTCTGATGAATTTGACTATGAGAAATGATTGCGGAACTTAACCTAGTTTAATGTTATTGAATTTCAATTATTTCATTATGGTTATAGTACTATAAAACTGGAGTCCTACATTGCTGTATCAGGACTAACATGCTCAAGGGGTCCGGTGCTCAAATTTGTATTCAGGGGAGGGTTTATTGTAGCAAAAGCGTCTTTTATTAAGGCAATGTAAAGCCTTTTTTGGTGGTTCATTCTCACACTTTTCCACGTTATTAAAATTCTTACAGTGTTGGTTTTGTTTTGTTTTGCTAAATGTGGCCTATCGCTTCAAGTGTTGAGGTAGCATCTGTTACCCATTGTGTAAAGATTGCCACTTAGCTAGCTAGCTGTCTTTGTGTGTTTGTATCTATACTTTTGCATTTATATTAAAGTATATGAGTATTTGAGAAAGATATATTAATTTTTAAGCATTTAATACATTAATAGTGCTAAAAAATATGTGCTTGAGTGTCTGTAAATCTGATACAAATTAGGGAGCAGAGTTCAGATTTCCCCACACTGTGCTGCCAAGTGGCCTCAATCAGAAGTAATTTTCTCCATGAAGGCACATGCAGCTCACTCGTCAGCCTCTCCTCACTAGATATTGTTATTTGTATCAAATTATATGTGGTGATTTTTCGAAGTGGACTGCTGTGTCCACTAAGCCATATGGATTTCTGCCACATTGACTCCTTCATTGCTGTCACTAATTTTACTCTTTTCTCCTGCCTGTTGTTCATCTATGTTATTTGCAAAAATATTTGAGATTTAGGATCATATCAATAAATGTTCATGAAATAGAGTAAGTACCAAGTGAGTAAGTAAACTACCAAACCCTCAAAATCCCCTGTGTTGTGTACAACACAAACATTTACTTGTTTTATAAAGGAAATTATTTTTTCCGGACTTCATACAAAATATAGAGTGAAGTTACAGAGACTTCATTTGCCTTTGGTAACCCTATTTAAGATTAGAAATTGAGATTTTACCTCGTGCATTTGGGAATTCTTCACTTTTAATCACGTATCTAGCTAATCTGAAGCATTTCAGAATCACCTCTCTTTAGATTACATCACACTTATTTACAAGGGCTAATGGGAAACCAGTTGTTGTAATGAGAAGACAAACATCTAGACTACATCTCTAGAATTAACTGTTCAACTAAATTCTAAAATCATTTCAGTTTGAAATCTTACTGTTTTATTTAAGAGTCTAATCATATCTTGGAGGTGTTTACTGCCAGATCACTGGGACACTCAGATGAATTTCAGTAGTAGGACTTACTTGGATTTGCATTGCTGTGTCATTTTGGCAGTTGTTGGTTATAATGTCACACTTAATCATCAGTTATTGAAAAGCATTTTTCAGCAGAACAGGGATGGGACCTTGACCCTGTTCCAGTTGAAATAAAAGCAGACATAGTACATGTTGTTCCATAGGTGCTTAATAACATGATCGGTGTAAGTAATAGGTGTAATACTATTGAATTAAATCAAGAAATGCAGAAGGCATAGTACTAAAGTAACTGATTAAGCCGCATTTGGAGTGTTGAAAGTAATATATCCACACTGTAATAACAACTGGGGAAAAAAAGCAGTATCAGAGAAAACATTTGATAGTAATTTATTTCTAAAGGCTTATTTATTTTTGTCTCTATGACTGTTTTTAAGCATTTTAAATCAGGGAAGAAGTTGAGTACATGCTGTGTAGGTTGTTCCCTAGACAGAGGAGCTAGCAAACTTTGAAAACTTTGTTTTTTAACCAGATTAGCTCTTAGTTCTCTAGCTGACTTGATTTACTGATAGTAGGAAGAGGTTGTTGGAAGTATGTGGCCAAATGAGGCAAACCTGCAGAGTTTATGTCTTTGGATTAGTCAAGATGTAATTCCATACAGTCTTTATTGTGTGATTCTGAACATTTATTTTTATTCATTGTCAGTTTATGTGCAACTAATAAGATGGAGTAGTCAAGAATAGAGAGTCTAATCTGCTTATTCTTACTAGTATGTGGCTTTTGATTTTACCGTTTTTTTTAATGCACTTTATGTTTGAGCAATAATTAAAAATAGCCACAGAAATCAGGCATCGATATTTCAGTTTACATGAAACTGGCAACCAACAAATACTTAATTCTGGTGTTATTCTTTTATTTAAAATATTTTCAAAATTTATTGAAGGTATATGGCTGCTTTTGAAATGATGTAAAACATGGTATTTATCCATCTTTAGCTATGTGAGAAATTTCCATTTCCCTAAAATGGCATATTTTTTGTTTCGTTGTTTTTTCCCTTCCTAGTTTATATATCCAGATCTTACCAGGAGTACACACCAATAAATGGCTCTATAGACAATGTCACATATTAATAATACCATGAAATCAGAAAAGGTGTTTTTTGATAGTTCATTCGGAGCCCCTTGTGCTTTCATTTCTGCCATGAATCTGGGCACACGTAAGGTGCCTAAAGTGCCCAGGTTTAGCTGCAGTTCACTGCTCCGGTGTGTGCCAGTGCTTTGTTCTCCGTGCCGTACAGTGCGATAGCCACTCTTCATTCCCTATTCATATGCACTTGCTGGATTTTTTCCCAACATGGCTAGAAAGGGCAATTAGCAGTAATGGATACTTTGATAGTGAGAATTTTTTCTTCAGCCATAATAATAGCCCCTTATTTTAGGAGATATATTGTTGAATGACAGCTAGCGTTGGTGAGTATGTGTCCACAAAAATGGGTTCATTTGGTCAGATTCTCAGCTGGCACAAATAGTCGTATTTCCATGAAAGATAGTAAGCTATGTTAATTTATGGAATCCCAGCTGGGAATCTCAATCAATTTCAATAAAAAGTAACCATCATATTCCTGTGAAGCAAGAATTACACAACCTAGCCTAAAGTGAATTTTGCTGTTTTAATAAATGTAGGTAGTCACAGGTTCATAATAAATTACATAAAATTAGAGTGCAGTCAATATTTGATTTCTTTTAAAAATGTATCCCTTCCTTTTCATTGAATGCATCAGAATCATTTATGTATTGTATCTCAGCATGATAGATTATATAGGAATAGTGTATTTAATACTGGAAAACTATCCTATAAATACAAATTACATTTTTTTTCATTAGCTAGCTAGCTTTCATTTCGAGGAAGAAATACTCAGTCAATTATAAACGAGGCTGTGCTTTCATTGGAGAGTGAAATATGTAATTTTTTTCAAGCCTCAACCATGTATAATGAAATCCCTCTTTTGAAATCCAGTCTTAAGATGTATTTTGAAACATACTGACATTTAATAAAATCTTAGTTAAATTAAAATATGTTCGGTTATTTCAAATCTCTATTTAAATCTAGACTAAAATTCTACACCTCCACAGGAGATATCTTTAGCAAATAGTTAGTATTAACCAATGATTGTGAAGTGTGTGTATATAAGAAAGAAGAAAATTTGACTACATTCCAATTGGTAACCTGGGTGTTATGTATTATAGATCTGTCAGATGCTGGCTCTTCAAGAGGATCTGTAGCAATAGTCTAGTCCAGGTAACTAGAAGAGGAATCAAAACCTCAGGCTGCCATTTCAAATTCAGACTCGTGCCCTGCTTCTGTAACTGGCTTATGTTTCTGTAGCCCTCAACTAGTAGTTTGCCACAATGGTTGTTTGGCCTCTGTGAAATGAAGTAATAGTCTGTCTGAGTCCCATCTATTGACTGGGAGTCTATTGAAGGGTCTAACAAATGAATGATCATGGATAATATGAAACTCTTCTTAAACACTGTCAGGTGCTGGTCACAGTAAAATAGCAGAAGAAGCTGAAGTTTATACTGTCAATACCTTTGTAATAATTCATTGTTGTCAGTACTGTTCAATCAAGAAATGAAGCCTGTAATGGCAACCTGCTAAGGACTGTAAATTCAGCATCAAAAAAGTCTCTTCACTGTTTATGTGGTTTTACAAATATAGCTTTGGTTTCCCTTGTAAAAACTGTCTGTGTTTAATACTAAAGCTGGTGAATAATGAAAGAACCCGCATGTGCGAGTATTATTAATACACATTAATGATAACGCTTTGTATTTTCTGATTTGAAGCCATCAAGAAAACAGTCACTCTCTATTTCCATAAAATTTTATTTGTCCAGTTCAAATAATTGCTGAACACAGCTGTGGAAGGAAAAACTAACTAAAGATCTCCTGTTAAAATTTCACTAAGGTTTTATTTCACATTGTCCTGTTAGATGGTTTTGCCACAGTGTTCCTGATTCTTTTTAAAGGGCCCCTTGAGGATGCCATTGAGGATGAAGAAGAAGAGTGCCTGTCTGAGGAAAATGATACTATCTCAAAAGAAGACTTTCCATTGGAGGAAAGCTTTTCTGCAGAGTTTGAGCCTGAAAATCTGAGCTGTGAAGAAGTGGAATACTTTTGTAATAAAGGTAATCATTGTAGCCCACCTTTGAGGGAATACTGGCCAAACTGTCCAATTGAGCAAAAAGATTTTTGGGTTTAAAATGTACAAAAAGTCCTATTAATATAGTACCTTAAATATAAGAAAATAAGCCACTTGCGGGGTTAAGTCTGGTAAGGGGTAAATATTTTAGTGTGTTGGAAGATGTACTTGTCAGGGAGGTGAATCATCTTGCCTTTAATATTTTCCTCCAAGAATGTTATTTTCTACATATTTAACTGTAGAGAACAGGCCTCAGAAGTCAATTATTATCAGATCCGAAGCTCGCAATGCAGCATGTCTGTGCATCGCTTCTTTGCCTGGGAAACATTGCTAGAAAAACAGATTGTGTCTGTAGATTCTAGGATTAAAATAGAGCTTATTATAGAACTTATTATGCATGGTAGAAAACTAGCGATTGTGAAAGGATAACTTTTAAAGTTGCAGATGCCTTTTTGCTGCATTCGTTACTTGAAATTATTAAAGATAGGGATATTTTAGCATAAGTCACACCAATTCATTCTTACCTAGTGTTCAGTCTGCAAGGTTGTCCTGTTTCCCCGTTCAGCTGACAGAAAAAAGCACACTGTACTGTTATGTAGAACATTGATTTAACCTTCTTCCTGCCAGATTTCCACTTGATTGCTTTATTGTTTGTCTTCTGCAGGTAAGGATGCCTATCAAATAGCTGGAATTGTTGTGGTGATGTTCTTCTCTTTAGTCCAAAACCCCCTCAGGCATTTGGATGTCAGTGATTTCTCTGTCTTTCTGTTCTTTCCCAGATATTGACATACGTTTTCTCCTGATAGCTTGATATACTTCTGGTTTTGTATTATTTTCATCTGTCTTGGACAAAGTAGAATAAATCTCTTTGAATAGTTAAATGTTTTAACTGCCGAATGTTAGTCATTCCTACAGAGTCTTCAGTCATCAGTGGAGAAGGCATTAAAATGTATTTTCTATGTCCTCTATGTAGCTTACAAACTTTTGAAAAAATAGGGGTTTTTTTTGCGCTATAAGTTCTCGACACTTAGGCTATCCTAAGAGATCAAAACAGTCTAGTCCATGCTTTAGAGTTTAGCTGCTGCAGATCTTACTGTGAAGTAAGAGAGACCAGATTATGAATGGAAATGCTTTGCAAACAGGGGCAGTTAAGTGCTTTTATAACTGTGTTGTAAACAAATACAGCAATTACTGTGCATTCACTTGTTCGCATGCCTCTCAGACACCATTTTCCTTAGCTGAAAAAAAGTACTGTTCCTGTTACTGGCATTACTAAATAATTATTTAAACCACTGTTGGCATAACTGTTATACTAGCATCTCTTGAGTTCCTTCTGTCCGCAACGGGAGACTATGCACCACTATCAGTTCCTATCAGTTTGATTTAGTTATTTCTCTGTACTTTGTGCTGCATTTCCAGGGCCTGCCAATGGAGATGCTACTGTTTTGGGTGAAATTCAGAAAAATATATCATTTTTTGTTTGTTTACAGAAATCAATATTGCAAATCATGTTGAATTCAAGTTATCTTGGCACTTCTCTTTAATGAACACAACTTTCAGGGAAAACAATGAATCCAGGCCATTGTAGTAAACAAGATCAGGAGTTAAATGCGAATACATTTAGATCTGAATCTTGATTATCATGTTTTATTAAGGACATCTACTGATTCTTCAAGCTGGATACTTTTTGACTCCCCAGCAGTTCTTTTTCCAAGTGTGTTATAGTCATAAAAGAATCTTAAACCTATCTACTGCAACTGCTGCAGAAGAAAAGTTGAAAAGAAAATTTCTGAGGATGAAGGGGCACATAAAACCCCTAATCTACTTCCAGCTGAGGCAATGTGACAGAAAGTCCCACTTTGGAGTAAGTTGAGAATATCCTTGGAAAAGGATGGAATGGGAGGCTAGAAATGTATTGTTTTTTATTAATGTCTCAACTTCTGTTGAATGTCTTGCTTCTTCACTGTCACATCTTAAGTGTTGTTAGCATGAGGCCACATACATTTTTCCAAGAAGAAAAAACTAATCTGGAAAGCAAATAAATTTATTTTGTTCTTAGTTGAAGTGTTTGTGACTGTATTATACAGTAAAAGTGAGACTAATTCTCATGATTTTTGTCATGAATCTGTTAATCATTCATAACCTTTTTTTTTCTTTGTAGCGCTTCAGTATTGAAATTAAAACATGGTAATGGAAATAAGCTTTTTTCCCAAAAAATATTTTTTCTTTAACAACATGAATAAAAGCTTGAAAAGGAAACTTACCAAATAGGTTTGAGAGCAAATAAATGCATTCTAATTTCTGTTTTGAGGGCCTGACTTTCTGATTTTTGTTTTACTCTTTGACAGTATTGGCAGCCTGCAAACCACAGATATCTTAGCAGGAGGGAAAAATAAGTGTAAATCTGTGTTTTCTCATTATTTCCTTTTCCTGGAAAATATCAGAATTGGCATGGGAATAATTTTTGCTATCTCTGCATTCTCCTCTTGCTAGCATAGACCATTAAAGGTTCTAGAAAGTAAGGGGATTTTATTGGATACAGTGTATTCATTTGTCCTGTCTCCCCATTTATCTTCCCTGGGGTTTCTTTCTAGCTCAGCTAGAACAAGAGGACAAATAACTAGTGGGGCTCCTGCAGGACTCAAGAGACATGGGCAGCAAGTGGCACAAGAGTTGGGGAGGAGATTTTTGTGAGGTTTCACCCATGGTATGTTTTTCATCTTCTGTAGCTATGTAAACCCAAGTATCACCTGAAAACAGAGGCTTTTAACTATGCACACAATGCACTGAAGGCAAAAATCTACTGAACTCACAATTTATTCAGACAAATGAAAGTAGAAGATGTGCAGGTTCACAGCTTGATAACTTTGGCTTTTTGACTGAAGAGATTTTCCTGTCAAACTATGCCTGATCATATTATAAGCAGAGAGCAGTCTCTTATTGTCTAAAATGCAAACAGCTAACCTTTATAAAGCCATACTTGTCATTCCTACCTTATTAATTTAGGTTTGTGAGATTGATTCAGCAGAATAGTTGCCAGAATTAGAAGGCGAAGGCGAAAGCCTCTGCAAAGTATGAAGTAAATTAATCACATTGATTGAGCTACATGTCATTTTACAACTTCTCTTTTCTCAAAATTATGACTTTTGGCTATTATGTTTCCCTTCTCCTTTTGCTCATTAATGGCTTATGCAGCAAGGAACCTGGAAAATTCCCTCCCACACTTTTGCAACACCACAAAACCACAATTAACTTTGCTACATGTGAATATTTATTCCTATGTAGTCTTCGTTTACATTCAAATGTGAAGAAGTGAGCAGTGTTTAGGCATGTAAATATTAAAAGCAAAAATGGAAATTAGCAACCTGCTATTTATCAGGGAAAAGTTTAAGATGGCAACTGTGAATTTTTAACCTTTTGGATGAAGTTTCCCATCCAAGAATGAATATTTTAGAAGAGCCTCAGAATACATGGCAGTTAGAATTTTGATTTGTTTGCAATTTTCACAGTGAAGTTAAGGGAAGGGAATATTTTGGAAACAGCAAAGGTAATAACACAGTCATAGTGTTCTTTCACTACAAAGCTGCACTGGTCTCAATTTTTGGAATAGAAACAAAAAATTCAGTAGAGGTAGCCTTGGTGATAATGCATTGCATTTTGTCAGTTTGTGGTCTTTGAAAATTGCTGTTTATGCTTAGTTACTACAAATTTCTGCTCTGCAGATAAGGAGGCTATCTGATGATGCTGTCCACACAAAGCCTGTATTAGCCTGGAACCTGCGTCGCTGAAGATTTTTTTTAGTGTCCAGATAGTGGGTATCTGGAATTAGAGTCTTTATCAGATTAAGATTAATTCAGATTAAATTCAGATCTAGAAGATTTATTAGATGAGTGCCAGTATTTAGGTAGTCTGAGTAAGGAGAAAGTAGCCGGTCTCCCATGCAGAGCAGTGGCAAACTAGATAGCTGAAAGCCTACTATAGAAGCTAGGAGATAGTACATAGAGATTAACTTTTGTCTTTTATAGGTGGGAATAAGAAAATCAAGTGATGCTAACAGAGACAAGAGAAGAAATGAGCTGGAGGAATGATTGGGCTAGTAAAAGCGGGAGGGCAGATAAAGAAGTGGACACAAACAGCAGAGCAATACAAAAGCCAAGAAGTTGGAGGTGATGGGATGAAAAGTAAAGAACTAAATCAAGTTAATTTGGGTTGTGAAGTAGTTTATCATTGACTCTTCTAGTCATCCTGCCTAGATACCCTCAGGAAAGACAAAAAAATATTCTCATCTGTTACTTAGAAAGTTTGCCATACTCATATGGAGGTGACATCTCTTCCTCTCTGTAAACAGCAGTAGGAGCCTGGCCTACTTCGTAAGGGTGGGAACTGGCTAAACAAATTACAGTTCCTTGTGACCTTCTTAGCAGAAGTGTTCAATGAGGGATTAACTTTCAAAGAAAAAGTTATCTTGAGCAATGAGAGATCACTTGAGATTAGTAGATGGTTAAGTAGCTGTGTTCAGAGAAGGAAAGAGACCAGAGAAGAAAATGGAGGAAGGACTATAATCAAGAGAGAAAATGTGGGACTGTTTCCAGAAGAAAGAGTCGAATGGAGGAATGTACATATCTGATAATTAGAGAAAGAAGACATATCCATTTCTTGCTGCCATGCTTACTGGTACAACTTTGTTGAATTGTCCTGTTCTGTGCTTGTAGCATGGCTATTGCGCTTGTTCCTCATGTTGTAGGCTTCCCAACAGAAGACAGCATTGACACCAGCCCTCAGTGGGAGGAGATTCAGTGGCCTTAACATTTCTGGTGGCAGATTGGAAAGCAGATTGCTTCTGTTTCCCAATATTAACTGTGCTTCAGTTGGTGACATAGGAAGATATGGGGGATTCATAAAGTGGTATGAAGATTGATTTGTTTCATGATGTACCACTTTTAGGATCTACAGCACAAACTGCTATGTATGCCTGTAGCAAATCAA